CCCCCCCCCCGGGGGAGGGAAAGGTTATTGCAAACTGTGTTCGCAGACGAATCGGGACCAGATGTTTTCTGGAAAAGTTACTTGTTTTCTTGTTCAGTAATTAAAACCAGATTTATGCCGTATATTTTGTTATACTGCATAAAACCGATTGATGGCTGAAAAGGGTAAATTTAATGCCCAATATTTAGGTTAGACAGGACTAACCTTCTTCAGGGGCTACATTGAAGCTAAGTAGACTGATAGCGATCGAGATCCGTGTTTATCAGTTAAGTACAATTGAAAATTGCTAGTTAGAAATTGCAAACTGCTAGAACACGGAAATCAGTTTAGTGTTGATAATGCCGAACTGCGGCCCATTCAAAAGTCCTCCGTCATAGCTTTTAGCACTCTAGCGCGATTAGGAAAGAACACAACTGAGCAGATGTCATTGAAAAGCTGGTACGTAAAAGACGTATGACATAAGTAAGAAGTTAGATGAAAGCGGCGAAGCAATTTCGAGTTAATATTTCTTCACTCTGCTCAGAGAGCTTATGCCATATTAATTTCTATGCTATAGACATATATTATCATTAACATCGTTTCCACAGTGTGAGTGACAAGTTTGATGAAGCGATGCCAATTTGGGTTCATATTCCTTCATTCTGCTCAGAACGGTTATGCCCTCTTTTTTCAAGCCGTAGACATATTACATAAACACTGCTTGCGGAATTTGTCATAATCCTAAACCGATTCTGAATCTGATAAATACATTCGACGTTTCTTATGAGCGTGTTCTTTACAAGCGAAGCATTGTCCACTTTATGTCGTCATTGGTTAATAAGAGGTCACCACAACATATTTGTAAACTGGGGCTGCGTTGTTCACTTTTGACATGATGAAGAACGGAAGATAAGCGCTGGTATCTGGCCCCGACGCACTGATGTTTTGTTGCTGTCTTTTGATGACGATTGAAAGGTAACTGTCACACCAGAACATGAGACACTGGACATGCCATCCTTGTGATGAAAAGTACTTGCGTTTATCGTTATTTTAGCTGTTGCAGTGTATAACAGCCCTGCACGAATAGAAATCTATTGTGAGAAATGCACTTCAAATGTCATGTCAGTGGATACGGTGTTGTAGGATCCATTCCTTTCTGCTATCAAGGAACTTCCAAGATACAAACCAATGGTGACCTGAACGTTTGTTGAACCGCTCTTGACTCCCCACAGACGGTAGCCCGTTAGAATGATGTCACCATTTGTTTGGAAATCAATGGCGTCAACCCTTCCAAGGAAGTAACCCCAGCCTGAACTTGGATCATCTGGTTCTTCGATGCGCCAGCAATCACACTATGAGGATGAGAAGAGGAGATGAAAACAGCAACAATAACAACACCAAATTACAAACAACATTTTTAACATTATAAAACATGTTTCGACATTCCTATGTCATCTTCAGTTGCAAATGTTTGACGGTTGTAGAATAAGAATTAAAAAAATACATCAATTTAATTCAGCTGGTAGCCTAGAGTTGCATTCTCCCATTTATAATAAAACGCCCCCTTTATCTTAGTTTTTTAGACGCAGAAAATGAAAACGTGACAGGTCTCTGTAGATCAAGAGTCGTGACAAGTCCTCCAAGACTACAAAAGCCTGTAAAAATACGACGTCTCATCCTACAGAGGGTGCTCACGG